ACTAGCAATAATCTAAAAGAAGCCAAATTCTTTGTCTTCTACTTAATTTCACTCATTGTTTTTCCACTTTGGTTTAGAAATTGACGGTTGTTGCATTCTATGCACTACCCATGCCATCATGTTTCAAACCAAGTATCTTAAATTTTGTTTTTGTTGAGATGCTTAAACCAGCTGTTGATTAGTTCACACACCATAAGTGATTCCTAATTATTAATGCAGTGCTTTGAGTCAGTTTTCCCTGAAAATGATCTCAAATTATCTTCTTGTGTGCCTTGTCCAACAAACAACTAATCATGGTTAAACCTGGACTCAGTTAGGGATCACATTTCATTAAGTAAACCTAATTTAAGGGGGTGGGAGGGAAGACGAGTGAAGGAGGACAAAAAGTAGCACACAAAAAGAAGACAGGGAGTGTTCAAAAGAAGCAAGGAGTGACTAAATGAAGGAAAAAAAGGATGAGTGGCAGAGGAAGGGGGGGAAAAAGAAGGAGTGACAAAGAAAGGATGGGAAGGACATCAAATTTAGATAATAGTGACGTGAAACTCTGGAAAAAAGTTTCTCCATACTCCAATACTCTGTTTTCAGGTAAAAAAAAAAGGAAAAAAAAAAAGGGGAAATCAAAAATAACTTTAGAGTGACATCATTTCCTACTGCAGCAGTAATATGCATGCTTATTTAATCTATTGTCCTCCACTGAATTTAAAAGTTTTGCTTATTTTGTTAAGCTAGTCAGAGGTTTTACTAAAAAAAAAAAAAAAGGTGATAAGAGATTGGTGTTAAGGCATCTAGTAGCTCCATGTTTGAACAGGAGGGGGCAGTCAAACACTAGAAATTATTAGCAGAAAAACGTTCCAACTGGAACAACTGAGACAAAGGAAGGCAGTTCATTGACAAGACTTTGTCTTTTATTCAATAAATAACTTACATTATCAACAGCTGGCATGTGGGACCACATCAGATTTACATTAGAACACAGTTTGATCTTTCTGGCCTATCCCGGTCAGCTAGTTTTTACAATCCATTTTAAGCATCAGAATGAAAAGAAAAACCAAACATAAAGTGCATCAAACTCAAACACACAAACGCCACAGAACATTTTCCTACATTCTCTTTTTCAGGAAGGTGGGCTGCGTTAAAACATCTACGGTAAACAAGAGATATTCTCATTCTGTCAACGTGTGTGCTGTCTTGAAAAACTGTTCTATGGCGTTTGTGTTGCTGAAAAATAATTAAAAAAATCCTCTTCTTTTTTTTTTGTTTTTAAAGAATTAGAGGCTCACATTCACTGAAAACATTGTGTACAAATCTGAAGGGATAAATTCAAAAACACAACAGGTGATATACACATCTAAACACAACAATGCACAAAACCTATGTACAATTCTCACAGAATACAAGTCGAACCAGATACTGTAAAACACACAGTTACATCCATTAACACAAGGTTTAACACCACGACTATTTTGTTGTTGGGAGTGTATTTAGAACGCATTTTCAGAACAGCAGTGAGAAGGGCCTGCCGCACACTTTCGGCGTAAACTATAAACGACCGTAAAGCCGAAAATCTAGTAATAGCGTGGAGCAGATGCTGCAGCTGAAAGACATCCTCCAGCAAGAAGCATGTATTGACATGACACCCCCCCC